GGCCCAGCCCAAACAGCTCGCCTCTAGCTTCGCAACTTACTTTGCTTTAGTGTCGTTACTGCTGCGGCACCTGGATTTTCTCCATTATGAAACATGAGTAGAATAGCGACGTCAGACCTTTTGAAATAGAGAGCCCAAAACAAATGTGTTCATGTGTTAACTCCAACCTGGGGGCATTTGTAACTTTTTCTCTCTGTAGCTCAGTGTTGCTCGGCACATTATTCATAATGAAAATGGGTGTAACAGCAGAGATAACTTGTACTAATGGCACACGGGAGGAAAATTGGGAAGGTTGCCTTCTGCTGAGCGGGTGAGCGAGCAGAATATCAGCTTGACCAAACCAGCGCAGGAGCTGCAGGTTTTTGCTTGAATGGAACTTTATTTTATTTTGTGTGTAAATCTTCTCAGGCCGTTGGTCAAGGCGTTTCCATGGCAACTGGAGTAATTTCGTTTTGGTGATGGGGAGCAGTGGGCTCACAGCAGGCGGTGGGTGGGGGTGGGTGCTCTGGGGGTGAGCAGAGAGGGATGGGGCTCCTCATCTGTAGAACTGCCTTATGTAGATTTTAAATCAGAAAGCAGCTCATCCATGGCTGTCACATCTGTGCCAATGAGGTATGAGATGTACCCTTGGTATAAGGCATAGCTATAGCTGTAGTAGACAGAAGAAAGCTAATTTCCTTTCTTTCTTGAGGAGATCAATATTCCACAGCAGGGAAGGATTTCTATTCTCGGCTATAGTTTTATAAACAACATCCCATTACACCTATTATCATAACAACCCTTTTTATCTCCTCTGTCAATATTTGTCTCTATCATGCAATGCATTTCTTTAAAAACAGAAATCCATCATTGTGGCAAAAGGGAAGAAAAAAACGTGCTAGCAGCCCACCTGGTAACTGGTACTTAAACCTCGAGGCCCTGAAGTGTTTTTAAGCACTCTTGTCTAAAACCAGTAGGGTGTGTATTAATTATGGACTGGAAATGGCCAAGGAGTTTGGTTCTTCCCACGGCTCTTGGCTTTGGCCCAGACACTGTGCTGCAGTGATGGGTTGCATGGCATGGGGATCCTGTGGGCTCCAGCAGCCCCACTCAGTGATAAAGCAGCACATGTGGTGGGCTCCTGATGTGTTAAATCTGTTGAAATAGAATCTGTGATGGGAAGGGTGCTTCTGAAGCACGCGGTGCCTCGAGGAACAGGTGTAGGCTTTGCACAGGGCTGGCATCTCTCATGCTTTGCTCTTGGAAGTGGTGCAGGAGTGGTGTTACTGGAGGCTTTACTCCAATGTCTTCGTAGCACTGCTAAGGCTAACCAGCACTTTGTTCTGACACACCACTGGTTTTAGTTCTGTCAAATGTATATCGGCATAAAAATATCAGGTATCAGCTTAAGGGAGAATGAGTTACTTTTCATCAATATAGCAATTATTTTAACCATTTCTGCTGAGAAAAATACACGAGGCATTTCAGATGTGTATAATTTCCATTCTAATTCATCTCGAGCTCTATGGCAAAAGTATGTGGTGTATTTTTATTCCACTTTGACATTGCACACACACTAATGTGCTGCAGACTGCGTTGATAACCAAGCCTACAAAATTGCATATAATGTGTGTAACACCCAGTAATTATAGATCTTAAATTGTATGACAGGCATCAGGAATAGAAATGTTACTTCTTCCTCGCTTAAATATGCAGAGGACAGCATACCCAGAACAGAGTGATACCTTTAGTTGGCTGAGCTCTGCGCTCATTTTGTTTGACAGAAAACAGTTTCAGGATTGGAATTGTTACTGTGAGCTGCTTTGGTGTAAACCAGTAAGTCATTATTCAGTAGAATGATAAAATACAGAATAAGTTACCTGTATGTTATTCTTGTTTGCTTGTGGGCGAGGAAAGTACCTTGGTGCATTTAAAACATGACACCTGCAGCCATCCAGGCCCTTTCCTATTGGTCTGGTGAGTGTCGTGAGCATAAAGGGGGGGGTCTGGGATAGAATAGGATGGGATGGGATAGAAGAGAGTGGTATAGAATGGAACAGAATAGCACTGAGAGTTGCTGCTGCACTGTGCCATGCAACCTGGCAGCACGTGTCCAGGCACAGCGGGAGGGGAGAAGAAAATCAAATGCAGATGGGGAAAATGTCTTCAAAACAGCTCCCACCCGTTGGTGCACAGCCCGTCAGATGCAGCATATAGGCAAAGCACGTCGTTTTCAAAAGGTTAACACCTTGGCAGAGCTAATTGCTGTTCTTCCTCTAGATTTGCAGTGTAATTTCTAATTTTTGACTTCGCTTCTTATCCTTCAATTAAATAGATATTAATAAAACAAATATTTATGCCAGGGGAGCATAATAGCATAAACACTTAAGGAAGGCGAAGCAAACAAAATGTAATAGCATCAATATTTAAGGACTGTGGAGTAAATAGAAGTAAAAAAAAACAGGCAGATGAAGGAAACTTCCTCAAAACCTGGTCAAGAAAGCACATCAAAAAACCTGTAAGTTAATCATTAATCACGAGTTGAGTGATATTTGTGTATTAAACTTCTCCTTCCTGTGTTGGGGTTCTTTGATCCCACTTTCTGCCTTTCCCTCAGTCTTTGTTTTCTTCCTTTCTGTGTACAGAACGGATTCTGAAACTTCTGCATCATCCCTAGGAACTGTTCCATGTTTGTGTATCTTTTCAAAGAATTCTGCATCCAGTATTTCTGATAGACAGTCCGTTTAACAGGTGATATATAAGCAGGTATTTATTACAACAGTGGTTATATTGTCATCCTCCATCAGGTGCAAAAATGTGCTTCTGCTACCAAATTCCCCTGGCTGGAAATATCCACTGACACAGCTGGCACACAAGGCGGCTGTTAGCAGGGTGCATCAGGAGGATGCTGTGTGGGCAGCAGCTGAAGCATGGGAGTACAGAACAAGTTTAATTGAGCTGGTGCTCCCATGGGATGGAGCGTAGCTCCGAGAGCTGTGCAGTGAATAACAGAGCTGTGTGTATAGTTCTGTAGCAGTGGGATAGGCAGGATTTTATGACAGTGTCACAGGTTCTGTCCTTAAAGGTGTGATGGCATTATTTCCAGGTTGCCCTCAGGCACTGGGGAGACCAGCCTGTATGAAGAGGACAGGTGTCTGTGTGTGACTGTAGCAATCAGAATTTCATCTGCTGGGTGCAATTCAGTGAGTGTTGCAGAGCAGCTTTCCTCCTCATCTCAGCCTTTACTGCTTTTTAATGCTCAGGTGGGTCACTGCTTGGGCCAGACAAAGGTGTGGGTCTGTGCAGTCCTATGGTGAGGCTGGACATGGGCTTAAGAAGCTTCTTAATGTTACAGGGGAAAAAGGTGTTTTTTGCATTTCTTTTCTTTGCAGTCTCTCAGGGCCATGAAGGTTCTTTATCAGACTTATGAGGTTTATTTGTTTTATTTTGTGAATTGTTTTGGGCTAGAATGCAGCACTGTCCTTTCCTGCACTGGCATTTGAACTGTATGCTATGTGAGGAAACGTGGGAGAAACTAAAGCATTTGAAGTCTGTGCTCATACACGTATATAACGTGTGTGTACACATGAGCACAGACACATACACTGCACGTACCTTTTAAGAGAAGCAGTCTCAGCTGGACCACACGGATCAGTGCAGGCTCAGAGCAGAGCCCGCAGTGTGCCGTGCTGCTTCCTCCCCCACCGCAGCGCCCACTGCCTCCATCCATACGCATCCATACACATCCTTGCCCTCTAGTGTCTACAAGTTGTACATCACCCTTGATTATTCTGAGCGAAGACTTATTATTTTAAGTGAAAAAAAATCAGCGATTCTGGATTATTTCATTATTCACCATTTCCTGTTTCTTGAAGGTTTCAGATGAGAGCTGTACTACACGGTGAGCAATTTCTGAAAAGTTTTTCTATTTGTTCCTCCATTACCTTGAGTTTTGCTTTCTCAGGGTTCACCTGTTGGGTTCTGTGACTCCCAGCAAACAATGCTAATGAGCGACTCTGTGCACAGTGATTCCAGGGAAACATGCTTAGAACAAGTCTCTAGAGGCAGGTGATGCTGATGATAACATCTAAGCCCTGAAAAAATGTGAAGACTTTGAGCTGAAGTCCTCAGTCCTTTTCTTACCAACTGTGCTGTGTGATGGGTTGCAGGTAGAGGTGGGAGGTTTTGTAAGCTGAACCTGTACATTTCCCTGTCCTCTCACCTTTAACAAGGCAGTGTAATACATCAGGTCTGAAAGCTGTGGGTGCAGAGCTGCGTGAGCCAAGCGCCCCATACACACATCCCTTGTCATTCACATGTTCCTCCTTTTCCTTGTCAATCCTATAAAGATACCTTTATGTATTTGCTGTAGTTTTGTGTCATGTTTTCTTGAAGGCACATCACCATTTGCTTACTTAGTCAGCAGACACTGTCTTCCAGCATTCACATGAGATGAAACTGAGAAGTATTTTTAGGACAGGGAAAGCTTTTGCAGTAGCAATTAGCATGTTGGGACCAACGTCACCAAATAAGTGGGTAAGCAGATGTAGATAAGAGCAGTGCACTTCTGGAAATGCATTTTGTGCTTTGCACAGCCACTCCTCGGCTGCAGTCACTGCAAGAAGTGATGCACGCAGTGACTGACTGGCAGCAGCCAGGGGCTCAGTGTGGTCCCCTCTGATCAGACTGGTGTTGGTCTGCATGACACTCAGGTAACTTCATCTATTCCCTACAGCCAATCCTGTTCTCTTTTCCTTCCTTGTAGCTCCTTTTAGTCTTCCCACATCAATAATGCATTAAGCTTATTTATGGCTGAGGTGCACTTCTCTAGATATTGGTGATACTGGCTGCTTGTTCTCACAGTGATGGGCACCTGGAAGCAGCCTGGAAGCACCAAGCAGAAGACATGAAGAGGCCAGAAGTAGCCCTGCTCTTTCACAAAGCCCTGCTGCCTGGTTTTTAACATCCAGTAATCTCTAACTAACTGTTCTCCAGCCTTTTTTTCTGGCAGCAGGGAAAGGCACAAGCTGTATAATTTATCTCTTCTGAGGCCACATGTGAGAGAGCAGATACAGGATTATAGCAGCAGAAAAGTTAGTGCAAGCCTCTCTTATCTTAGGATTTAATATAGTGGGAGGTGGTCATTTTTATAAGTTAAAAAGCAATAGATTGAGATATACATTCAGCACGGATTAACTAAATTTCTTCCTTGAAGGGGCTCATTGAAATGTATGTGATGTTCACTCAGTGTTGTGTGAGATGCTGCTCAGAACTTTCAGCAATACAATAAAAGCTTGTGGTGTGGAGAAAGAGCTGCAGTCCTTTGCTGGATCTAATATAACTCTTGGGCTGGGACAAAAGCCTGTGACAAGACCAGACAGAGCCCAGTGCTTATGGGTTACTTCAGTAGGGTGGAAGGAAAGACATTTGGTTACTGCAGCCAGGGTGAGCCATGGTGCTGTGCATACCAAAACCAAAAAATTAAGACGACCACACAAAACTGAGTAATTCTTGCAGAGCCCCTGGCAAGGTGGGGCAGGGTCTGTGTGCAGCTGGGGTCAGGGCTGTGAGGATGGCCCCAGGAGCAGCCATTATTTTGCCAGGAATGCTTCATCCCAGGGACAATAATTAACATGTCATAGAAAATTGTCCCAAGCCAATCACGTGCCAGAAAACACAATTATTGCCTAACAAACCTTAAACAAAAGGCTGATTCATGTGCCTAATTACCATGCTTTAGCACTAATTGCAAGATGTGGATAACCAGCCCCAAGTGTCAAGTGCTCCTTATTTACATCCCCTTTGGGTACTGCTGGCCATGCAGGGCGCTGGGAGGCGCTGATTTGATGACCCTTCCCATGCAAATCATCTGTTACCAGCCTTGTTGGGCTTCATAGAAGTCAGATCAATGTTGAGATTTACCCCTACCTCAGAGCTGGGGAGGAACATGTGGAAGGCCCCTGTCCTCGCCCAGGGAACAGAGCGTGTCAGCCTGGGTCAGGGCTGTCAGTAACAGCCAGGGCCTGCTGAGCACCGTGGGATGGAGCAGATGACACTTAGTGATGGATGGAATAAGAAGATTAGGTTAACTAAAGATTTTCATAGCAGCTAATGGGTTCAGAAAAATAGCTAAAGCTACATTTTGCACAGACCATTAGGCTGCCAAGAAAACCCATTTGCTCGCTGAATAGCATCAATAGTCCACATGTTATTCACATTGTATAAGTTCTATGAGATGAATTACATATAAAATTAATTGTAGTTCTGAAGAAGTAACTGGCACAAGAAGTCACGTTTTGGTTAAGTTGTTTCAATAAGGTACTTGTTGTCTTTCACTTACAAACACAGGACAAACAAATACATTTTGTACTAATGAAATAGCCTTTACAAAGAGCTCACCTCTACTAAAAGCAGCCTGCCTCTTCTCCGCAACACACCTACAAAGCACTGTCCTTAGAGCAGCTTTCTGCTTTGCATCCCAGTGGCAGGATGGTAAGCTCCTGCTGAAGCTTGGGGTCTATGACAAGGGAAGGCTCTTCTGTTTGCTTTCCATACTTTCTCCTGTTTGGTTTTATTCTGTTAATAGGAGTTAGTTGGTAAGCTTCCTCGAGATCCTGCTATCTTAAAATTCCATGAACAAACAAAAAAGTTAACACTGAGTCACTTATCTATAGGCAAAATGCGTGTTTATGCTTTCCCATATGGTACTACAGTGCATAAATCCATCCCTCACTAAGCACTGCCCACATGTACCCTGAAGGGTTTATTTTTTCCACTTTGACTAACACATGTTCGACAGCTTGAGTCAACCTGTAAAAAATGTATAAAGGAAGTCACAGCCCCAATAAAACATGCTTAGATGAAGACCTTTAAATTATTGCTGGTTAATTTGAGGCAAACACAGCACATCAGTTTACTGCTAGCTGGAGGAGCTTTAGGACAACACTGCCTGCCTGGAGCTGCTCACAGCCTGCCCAGTGCTTAGGCTGGGCATGCTGCAGGACAATACTGGCTGTAGGACACTGCTGGTTGTAGGATGCTGCTGACTATAGGATGCTCTCAGCTGTAGGAACATATTGATGCCATGTTGTTCCTCCTGATGATCCTGTGGACAAAAAGAGACTCACAGGAAGTAGTAGAGATGATTCAGAGATGCCAGAAGGGATAGGGCTGCCCTCCACAGAAAGATACAGGCCATGTTTCTGCCCTGGGACACTTCAGCTTGCAGTGGGGCACATCTTAGCCATTTACCATATCCTTTGGCCTGATATCTGAGGCTGCATAACTATATTAAGTACTAAAAGGGGGCGAGGGAGGTTTTCCATAGAGACATGATTAAGGTCCTCTTAGCAATGAGAACTAGTGTTGATCATGATGTCTGCAGCCATGAACCTACCACTGGGGGTGGGGGGACTACTGATCCCCCAACATGCAAGTAGGCTGCACCACTTTGGTCCTACTTGCACCTTCCAAGGTCATTCTATTTTATGGGTACCGGATTCTAGGTTTTCAGGGGTAGGGAACAGAAGATTATTTTCATTTCCAATTTGTGGTCTTACCCAATTATTGGTGCCTGTAATGTGGTCTGCAGCATCTCCTGGGCATTGGGTGGGCCATCTCTGGGTCTTTCATTCATGAAGTCTCTTTGTCCACCCCTGCAGGGACTGAAAGCCTGTCTCCAGGGCAGCCTTAAGAATAACATTATAGCATTCAATAAAAAGCCTTCTGTAGAAAGGTGATAAGGGCAGAGTACTCCTCTGGCTGAGGCAGGCAACCCATTGTGCCACTGTTTGTGCTTGGGCCACCCTGTCTTAGGAAAGTGGGTCAGATCTTGCACTCACCCCTGTAATGGCAAGGTGGTCTTAACTATGACTTCAGATGTTTGAGTTATTGGCTCCACCACCTGTAATGGGGAGTAGGCAGCCAATAACTGTTTTTCATTGATTGCTTTTGGAATACCTGTATGGGTCCTGATTGAGGAGACCATGGTGCAACATCTGGATATTATGCTCTGTCTCCTCCAGATCGGCCACCTATTATGCAGCTTGTTGGATGATGGCTTCTGAGGCCACTAAAGGGTTCAGTAGGGGCACCAGTGTGCCATTACTGGTGGGGAGGGTCTTGCTGTAGTATGAGATCCCTCATTCTTGCCAAGAACTTAACCAGGTCAGAACTCTCTAATGCATCATCATAAATAGCCTTCTTCATTCCTAGTTCTCTGATATAATATTGGAGTTCTTCCATCGAGGTCAAAAAGCCAGTATTTATCAGTATGTCACTGTTGTTCAGCCAGGTAATTCTACATGCCACCATTATCCACTGAATTAGAGAATGGTTCTCATCACTGTGTATTACCATTGCTTCTGAGGGCTGGATGTGTGGTAACAGATGCAAGTTTGGAAATCTCAGGCCCATTAATTACCACACTTTCAACCCCCACATTCCATAATCTCAATCGTCATGCTGGTATGCTCTCCTGGGGTTGTTTAAATTGTTGCAACAAAACCATAAGTTCAGCAGCTACGTATGGGATGCTGTTACCTGTGGAGCAGTGTGGGCACTGGGCCACTCTTTGCCCAACCCTGGATTTCCTTGGTCTTTTGAGTTATTATTAGTCTTAATTCTAGAGGATCTGAGGTTCCCAGATCTTCTAGTTGGATTTTAGTCTGCTTGGCCTTTTTGTTCCTGAATTCAACTAGGATCCAAGGATCCTGATGATTCAAGTACTTTTCCCCTTCTAATGGTATGGGTTTTAATTTCAAAGGAGAAGTTCTATTTAAAGGAGAGGCAGTTCGTCCTATCAAAGATGTAGTTTTATTTTTCAGTTGTCTAATATGGGCTTTTAAAAGCTCATTTTCATCTTTTAATTCTTCCTCAGAGGAATGATATGAGTTAATAGTAGCAGCAGCCGTGCCATAGCAGATGCTGCTATTACACTTTCCTTAGTTGTCAAAATATTTTGTCTTAATTTATTTAAAAAAATCAGCCATTTATGAAGGGGATTTAATAATGGGACCACTGTCCCTAACAGGTCCCCGTTCTTCAATAATTCATGCAGAACTTAGCTATATGGAACCTAGGAATCCCAGTTTCCCCCAGGATCACAGAATCCCAGAATCACTAAGGTTGGAAAAGACCTATAAGATCATCCAGTCCAACCATCCACCTATCACCAATGGTTCTCGCTAAACCATATCCCTCAACACAACATCCAAACATTCCTTGAACACCTCCAGGGAAGGGGACTCCACCACCTCCCTGGGCAGCCCATTCCAGTGCCTGACCACCCTTTCACAGAAGTAGTATTTCCTAATATCCAGCCTGAATCTTCCCTGGCACAGCTTGAAACCATTCCCTCTAGTCCTATCACCAGTTACACGAGAGAAGAGGCCGACCCCCAGCTCGCTACAACTTCCCTTCAGGTAGTTATAGAGAGCAATGAGGTCTCCCCTGAGCCTCCTCTTCTCTAGACTCTTCTCCAGGAGTTTCTTTTCAGGTGTATTAGTGGCCCCAGTGACCATCCAATACTTTTTTTTTTTTTTTTTTTTTTTTTTTAAGATAATCCATCCTAAATAAAAACTGGCTGGCTCATCAAATATAATGCAATAATGTGATGGAAAATACAATGATAATAGTGGAGCATCAAAGTTTTTGGCTACAGCAAGCAAAGACAAACCCAAATACAGCAACTACAGAAATGAAGGAAAAGAGCTGCTTACCTTTGAAAGGCTTCAGATAGGCAGAAACCTTCCTCAAAATGCCTTTGTTTCCACTGCCTACCCTTAAATAGGTCTGGCAAGGGATGGATCCTGGCCCCACCCCTTTCATCATTCAGGTACATTGCATGCACCTGAGCTCCCCTGGGCTGGCCCTGCCTTCCACCAGGTGCTCAATCAGTGGAACAAGCCCTGACTCACCATTTCTGCTACAGATGCTCCTGGCTGTAGGATGCTGAGTGTCTGATGTCCAAGGAGCAGCTCAGTTTTTTTTATCTTGATCCTTACAAATCTGAAACTCTTAAGAAAAACAATGGGCCAAAATTGTTTTAATGTCAAAAAGTCATACAAATATAGTTCCCTTTTTTAAGGGATTAAGGAAGATTTTTACCCTTTGGAGTGGTAAAAGCACTGCCAAGGATTAAAAGCAGCCTGCTTAGCAGCAGCCTTGTTGTGTTTCCGCCAGCAGGGACTGAGCCTGGCTCATTTGGAGCTGAAGCCCTGAGCACCTGCCCAAATTAAAACCTAGAACCTGACAGTTGTAGAAACCCAATTGGTCCCCACCACCCATGGCAGTGGGGCCTCCCACCACAGGCCTCTCCATCACTGCTCAGCACTGTGCCCTCCTCTCCCCAAATTCCACATGACAGAGCCCCAATGCTGGCCCAAAATAAATGATCCATACTGAGTAACAATCCTGCTGGCTCTAAGTAAACATTTAGCATTTTAGCTTTAAATAACACCAGGTTAAGATCACAGCCATTCACGTTCACTCTATGATTTTTCTGTCTGCAAAATGAATGAGTATGCAGGCAAAAATGGGGTCTGAACTTGTTTGTATGAAGCAGCTGTGTCCCTTGGCTCAAGCTGGCTGTGCTCCTGCCATCACCGAGCCCTTGGTCTGCCTGGACACCCCAGCATGGTGCTGCCTGGCCAGCAGCAGCCAAAGGGCATGAGATGCTCTCCTTTCACTTCTTTCTTTTGTGCTTGTAACAACCCTTACCTACACAGCCAGGGCTCAGATGTACCTTGTAATTCATGCACTTTTATCTTTTCCCCTATTTTTGTGCAGTTTGCCCGGGGCAGAGCCCTCGGCTGCAGTGCCGTGGATTCCAGGGTCAGACACAGCACTGCCAAGCTGTCCTGTGATGCAGAGCTACCGGCCAGGGAGAGGTGGGGATGGCTGGGGTTCTGTGGGTTGAGCAGAACAGCTTGCTGCCACCCACTGCCCTGGGATTCAGCCGTGTTTGTTAGGGCAGTGCTCCACCACGTGAAAACCTTGGTTTAAAAACCATTCTCCCCCTCTCACTGAGTAAAGCTAAGATCTGCTCAAGATTCAGCCAAAAAATGCATCCTGCACTCAGCCCCCTGGGTGCCTGCGTTGTGTGCACATCTTCATTGGCCCAGTCTGGAAATGAGAATGGGTATGTGTTCAGAAATACCCACCAGAGCAGTGACTTTGTGAGGAATGTCAAGCACTTTCTTCATTCCTGTGAAAAAATGGCTATTTTTCTATTTCATTCTATTACTTCACAGTACTCAGGGCATACCAGATGTGATGTATGCAGGCAGCAGCATACATAGGTTACCATCCTTTTCTGCCATCATCTGCTCACTGACATCCAACCGCTCCTCTGCACTGCTTGCAATTCTTCAGACCAAAAAACATGGGCGTTTTTTTACATGCATCACACCCACGTCATAGGTTTAAAATTGCTTGCAGGAACTTACACTGGCAGGTGTGAAACACAGAGCAGAGGAATGGCTTGGGATGCTGCTGCCCTTCCTAACGCCCCGCACACCTCCATCTCAGCACTCCAAACCCAAATCTGCCTCTTGGGAGCATCGCTGTGCTGGGCAGCACTGTGGGAATCCCAGCATGCAGAGCAGCAGGGAGGCAGCGCCGCTCCCCCCGCCCTCACCCAGCATTAATAGTATTAATTGCACATCTAGCACAAAGAGCAATTATCAAAACATTCTGCTAAGCATCTTATCCAATAGACTGTTTACTGGAAAACACTCAACTGTATCAAAGCCCTTACAGAAAGCTCTTAGAAATTAATAAAAACGTTTGATTAGCACTTTCATGGATGCACAGATTCTGTATATGGCTGTATTATGGTGCATTTAATTATATATAAAGGCAATTAATGTCACAAATGAAAACTAAGCTCTGACTCAGCCTAAATAATTGTCATTATCCATCACATAGCATGTCCAGAAAGCTTAACTCCGCAATAATATTTATGAACAATAAACATGGCATTAATTCACTCATAGAATGTGGGCAAGATTCAGCCTCTGTAATAAATGGCATTAAAAAAAAAAAAAAAACAAACCCAAAAAACAACACTCTGTTCCCTCAGTGGGTCTTTTTCCTGGTATGTACCACAATATTAGTGAGGAACATTATCCTCATGTGTGTGCTCAGGTGGGTACCACCATAGTGCAGCTCACACGCATGTGCACGTGGTCCCTTCTTACTCTGCATGCATGCTCCTCCAGCGTCCGTCTGTCTGTACCTTTGCTGCACTATTCTGCTGTATGTCTTGCCATGCCCACAGGTACAGGATCACAGCTTCTGTGAAGGAAACTCCACCAGCTCTTCTTATCTAAACAGTCCTTCTTCCTCATGAACCTGCATGTTGCCATCAGCTGTCACATGCATGACACCACCTGTGCCAGCAGCAGATGGGCACAGCAAGGCACACCGCTATACCTGTGTGTAGGACTGCTAGAGATGCTCTGAAAACAAAGGTAGCACTGCATTGCTGCGAAGCACAGTCATTTGCAAAATACAGGGCTCAAATGGAGGTAAGGACTCAGTTTTGGTTTGAAAATGTGCAGTATGGGTGTAATAGCATGGTGTGACCGCTGGGATGGAAAAGCAGACACTGCAGCTTCACACCTTCGCTGTGCCAGAGCCCCAGAGCTCTGCTCTCACCTCTGTGACTCCCTTCAGAGGTTGGATACAGAGAGGGAGAGGTGGCCCAGAAGCCAGCTAATGCACTCACATTTTTGAGCACCAACATTCGTGCATAAATGCTTGTTCTTCTAAATTGTATCTGCGTGTGCAACACAAGTAGTTATCTCTAGGTGCAGATTCATGCATACATATATGGCTATTCATGTCCTTCGTTAATAAATGTGGTACACTAGAGGTGCACTTACCGCAGCCTGATGCTGGCTCTGCCCTTGTGTTTATGGTCTGTGCAGAGAAAACAGAGAACACTGCAGAGCCACTCCGTTTTCACTATTTGTTGGGCCGATAATTGATTTCTTGCTAACAAAGCCTTTACTTGCATGGAACGTCATCTTTTGTCTGCTGCAATTCATGACTCTATCTGTGAGTATTAGCACAGCCATGGAAGGCTGAGCAGCACCCCCAGCCCCCAGGGCTGCCCATGCAGTCAGTCCAGCTCTGTCACTGAGGTCTTCATCGCCATGCGCTGGGGCTGTCCCACAGCTGTCAGAGCCTCTTTTGATGCTGATTAACTTCATCAGTATAATTGATCAAGTTGTCTAGACAAAATGGGAGGCTAAATGCTCTGCAAAGCAATCGTCAGATGTCACCCAAAGCAGCTTCTGCAGGTGCTGTGCTGCAGTCTGAATGAGCTTCCTCTCACCTCTTGTCGCAATGCTTTCCCCTTCCCCCCAGCTCTCTCAACAATTGCCCACTAGATTGACTTTGATTACTTGTTGATTCAACTGCATTTCAGTGGCTGTTGGAAAGAATATCCTTGAATGTCACCAAGAAGATTCAAAAGCTGAAGGGAGCACTCGAGCTGAGAAACATGAGAGGTGAGGCGGGCTCTCTGTGCAGCTGAGCATCAGCTTCCAGCACTCAGGTCCCAGCACTTAGCACTGCGATTTGCCTTTTCCTTCTTTCCCCCCCCAGTGTCCTCCCACTCTTCTCCCACACCCCAGTTTCAGCTGACGTCCATGGCTGATGTGATGGGGTTGTGCTGGTGGCCCACAGAGCCCCAAGGGGTTGGGATCTCCAGCAGTCACGAAATAAAGTGTAGTCACAAGGGGGGGAGGGGGAGGGAACAACTGAAAAAATATATTTATTGGAGTAAATAAAAAAAAGTTAACCAAAACCCTTTATTGATACATTCTTGGATAATATCACAAGATCGAGAGAATGGAAAGGAAGGGAGGAGGTCGCGGCAGAGATCGGTTTCACTAAATTGGCACATAAGCAGCAAGATTAACGAAATTACTTATTACAAACAGTATAAAACATACATGCTTTGTAAGTCCTTACCACACTGGTCAGTCATGGTGGGGCATCAACAAAGAAAAACCTCAAGACATGTAAAAGCCATATTCTTCCTTCCAAATATCATAAGAATTATTGAAATTATTGCAAAATAGTCAGATACCTTAAATAAAATAACAAAATAGAACACAAATACAAATATCAAACATAAATTATTAACATGTACCATAAAATACATTACTGGCATGCATTCCAAATATCAAGACCTGTACTAAAACTCAGCAAAAATCCCATCTGCATCCTCCGCAGCCATCGGCGTGGGGGGGCTCACCTCGCCAGCACAGTTTTTGGTCTTTAAATTCTTTTTTGTTTGTTTTTGTTGTTAAAAAAAATATATGGATTGCGGTGATACAATAGTAATCATACAGGTCATGTACACAGGTCTTTTAGATCCTTAGATTTGTTTTTGTTTTAATGTGCTAAGTCTCCGAGAATAGGGCCTCAATGAAACTGTGCATTCAAAAAAAACCAAAACAAAACAAAAAGTGACCTCGAAACAACATGGATGGCAATATGCAAAAATCCTCACAAACTGTACAGAAAGTTCAAAAACTTGCAGTCTGGAAGTACATAGAAAGACAGAACAGCCCCTGTGAGTCCTCGCAGTGCCGGGGAGCGCTCCTCCGTGCCGTGGGCTCGGCAGCTCCGCGGCGGAGCAGGGCCAGGCTGTAGCCCCATGGCCGCATCTCACCGCCCAGCCCACGCCGGGCACACGGAGCGGCCGTGGGCAGCAGCTCCCGGCGCGGCCCGGCCTCTGCTGGCGGCGGGGCCGGCTGGAGGCCCGTGCCCGCAGCGCATGGAAGTCCTCTCCGTCCTCGCGCCCGTGGCGGAGCGGGCTAGATAACCAGGTTGTTATAACTGACGTACTTCTTTTTTGCAGCAGGGCCTGAAAGACAAGTGGGAAACAGTCACCGCAGCGGTCGGCAAAGGCCTCTGTGAGGAGGCTTGTTGCTGTTCTGCCGGTCAGGAACGCGGAGGCGACCAGAGCCTCCGGAACCCAGCGCTGCCCCGTCGGTGCGCTCGGCACTGAGCCCTTCCCTGCGCTGAGCACCTGCTGAACGCCCTCACCACATCCCCTGTGGGATTTCAGGACTTCTTCCAACTGTGATGACATCCTCTCCAACAACTTCTTGCACCTCCTGGGCTAGGAGTTGGCTTTCTTGTGGGGGGGTTCCAGATTTATGACTTCTGGGATTTTTTCAGTGTGGGGGGACAAGGCATCAGCTTTCCTAATTATGGCCTTCAAATTAAATCTGCTCGCACACATTAATTAGTAAAAGCAGCCAGAACCTATATTGTGAGCAATGCTCCACATCTCTGTTAATAAAAGTTGCGAATATTTGCAGCTCAATACTGAGCAAAATACAGTGCAGTCCCCTGGCAGCACTGACAGCTTAGGGACTTGGATGGCACGTTCTCCATCAGGCACGTTAACAAAAACATCACTGTTTATATGCAGATTCTGTTACGAGGATGTGACTACATGCCCTGAGCTGATGGGGTTCTGTATTGAACTGCGTTCAGTGACTGAAGAAAAGGTCTTCCTCCTCTTCTAAAGGACTTACTTTATAGCATTACTGTGAAACCCCACTTATCTGTTCTACCATGCCCTACACTACAGTCGGTGCTGTTTGCTCAGTCAAGGCCTGATCCTGCAAAATGCTGATCTTCAATTCCCATTAACTGCTCTGGGGCGTGAAGGTGTTCAACACATGGGAGGATGAAACTCATTATCCTGCAAGACTAGACCGCAAATATCCAATAAACTATGGTATACTATTAAATGCTGAAGAGAGGTAAAATGCAATTGGAAAAAAAATGTGTAATCAGGAAACGGGTTGCAAAGTAATTACATGTATTATTTTGTGATCTATTTCAGCTTTATCCATTACATGCTCCAATTTCAAATAGCAGCAGAGTTCCCATAACAGAGAACGAGATTTTGATACTCCCCATGGCTGGTTCATGTAACATCACCCCTCCATCGCTTACAGGGCATTCACTTTACCATCAGCAACCCTGAAATTTTGCTTAATGAGTTTTCTCACAAATTCTACCACAGCATCTCATCTCCCATTTTCAATGTGACATCAGTGCCAAGTGAAGCCAACTAAGAAATATTTTGATAGTTTGTAGTCCTGTCACCTCCCTGTGAAAAGATGAGCCCCATGCGTCTCAGTCCTAGACAATAAGATTATTTCTGGAACTGCTCTGTTTCAACAGAAAAATGTACATGATAAAAGTATCACTCGTAATTCAGATAAAGTGATCAATAAAAGCTTCATGGTAATTCGAGGAGAGCAAAGATTATCTTCCCTTGTTCTTAAGACTGTTCTCAAGACTGAAGAGATCACATCTCTAGTTACACAGCTGCTGCATTTCACAGCTGCTCCTGCACTGACGCCAGGAACTCGGAGCCCAGCTGAAGCCTTCCAGAGAAGCTCCGATATGAAGACATCAGGAGAGCGACGGTCTGCCTCAATAATGAGTGTCAGCTCTTCATTATCATTGGGCAATTAGCACCAGGTACAGATTTGATTTTTCTCAAAGAAATTAATTTACATGAAGATGAGGAATGCTAATGAAACATCAGCATTACCAGGACTCACCATGCTTTAATCCGCAATACATGAGCATGCCCTGTTCTTTAACTGGGAAACAGATACAGATCTCATTCACCATGCTGCTGTTCGTGTTAACAGACAATGGCTTTCCAACAATGAAAACAGACTGTCTTCCCACAAGTTGCATATACATAGTAATTAATATGCATATAATTACGTCAACCTCAGCTGGCCACTGACTTGGCTGTACTGGAGGTGAGCCAGTAGCTGTGCTATGCAGAATGCACAGTGCTGGATGGATCCTCCAGCACAGAGACACACACACCGAATGCAGCCCATTTCCTGAGGTCAGAGCTCAGAAATAAGCAAATAAGCCATGTGAGCAACGTGGGCTGCTAGCTATTCTTAAATATGGGCTGCCCTGAGGAAAGGAAACATTCTGGACACAGATTGACTGCTGATTTGCAAATATGCTCCGTCTTGAAGAATTTGTAACTTGTAATTTGTTTTCAGAAAAGGTGACCACCTGTTACAAGAAGCTACACATTGCTGTTGGTGACAAGGGTCTTCTGTCTCTAATTGTGGTAAATAGCAATGATGTTAGCAGGGGAAGAATACAACGCTATTGACACAGGACAGCTAAACTGCAAACAGCCTCCAGGCAGGGGCCCTGACATAGGTAAGCACCTCACGTAAGTGTTCTCACGCTTGTCAAGCACAGCACAGCACAGCACAGGGCTCTTCAGCTCCCACTGTATTATGCCTTAACTTTGCTCCACTTAAATGAAAATTGTTTGGTCCATGTTACTCTGGAAACCACTGGAGGCTGTCACACTTCCAAAAGAACGTGAAGATTTGCTCCAGGGATGCACAGAATGTGGACATGCCATGACACATTACTGTGATGGAAGGAAGGGGCAGTTCTACAAACGTTACACTTATTCTCAATATGAAAGTAATCAGAAACTTTCAATGAGCAAGAAGTCAAGAGCAACACTTTCCAAAAAGGTCTGAAATGGAAGTGACACGCGATTTGCTAGCAGCTGGACTGCTGGGAGCACAGAGAGGCACCTCAGTCACCACAAAGCCCAGGCATTTCATGGCATGGCACGGCACTGATTTTAAGGATGAAACTACATTCAAGATACCAACAAGAGATGCTTGCAGATGAGCTAACATATTAAATTACAATTGTTATGTACTGGTTGTTGGTATCTTGTATGCAATAGCCTTTCCCATTCTCCAGGAGCAGATCCCCATCCTCTTCACATGCAGGCACTTCAAGCTGCCCTCACACTGCCTGCAGCTGAGCAACCCAGTGGGAAGAACATGCTCACACTCACTGCAGCTTACAGAAATGAAGATGACCTGTCTATGTGCATGTGGAAAATAAACACTATTTATTCAAAACACAAGAATTTATCAGAACTCTTCCTTTTTCAGCTACTATCCAGCCTCCCCAACGGGTTGTGGGGTAGTGATAGTCTAGACCCACATCCCCTGCCATAAGTGGATGACAGAAATTGAAGTGACTGTATCGCCTGTGCCAACAACATATTAAAAACAAATACATAGAAGGAAAAATCCTCTTTGGATGTATGTTTAATCACTTGACTGGTTTTCATTATCTTGAGCACAGGCCACAAAAAAGAAGCTCCCAGAGCATCCAAAAGCAAGGCAGATCTGTCAATACTTGCTCAGAGTGAGATTTAATCACTTTCACTTCAATTTTATGCACATTTGTTAACTCTTCCAAGCTTAAAGAGGAAAGATTTACAGTGCAAAAGATGAATTTTATTGCAGCCTACAGGCATCCCAGGCTATTAAAGATATGAAACATTGTCTTAGTACTTCCAGCACTGAGCAAGAGCTGACATTGTGATGGCTACAAGCTTGGATCTGCTCTGATTTCCTTTGCAGTCATTGTGGCAGATCATGCTTACTTCTCTTTTTATATTTTCTTAATTCTCACCTGGAAACCGGTACCATCCATGCCAGGTAAAAAAGCAGCTGGTTATTAAACTCCACTTCTGGCTCATCCAACAGAGAGGTGGACACGTGTGGCCCCTCCTATGGCTCTGTGCTGAAAAGCAGAGCTGTGCACATGCTGCCTTTAGCCAGGCAATACACGAGTAGGAACTGAGAGCAACAGCCCTGAATACTTCCACATACCACAAACATGACAAAATTATATCTAATATCTAAATGTACATAAATTGTTGCATTGCGTTTTTACATCTCTCCCTTCTGTTCTGTTCACTACCATCGTGTTGGCAATGTATCCATAACAGAGATGCTACCATTCTACAACAAATTCCTGTGCTCAGTGCCTGTGTTGGTGGGCCGTTGTTTGTCTCTGAACTGCAGCCCGAACCGCCTGACTTTTACACAGATTATTCAGAACCTCATGTTTTAATAATAGGATACGAATATATTAAATTACAAATACAACATGAGTTAAAAGAGTGTTGCTCCATAATTGCTTTACAGCCTTCTCTTCTCATAAATTACATCGTGTTTAGCTGTCACACGTCCTTGTCACTCTCAGCAAAGCAGCAACAATTAGCAGTTCAGCACTGAACACAACCATAAATATCAGTGCAGTTTGAGTCGCCGAGAGGTTTGTCAGCAGATCAAGAATTACAACAGGGAGTGAGAAGTTGCTAAAGAGATTGTTTCTTTTTCCCAGTCGTTAACTCACCCAGTACCTAAAGGTCTGATGGCAGCCTGGTGACAAGCACAAAGGTGACAAGGGCTGGCTGTGCTGCCCAGTGAGGAGATAACCCCACACCACACGGCTCTGCCATCCCTGGCCCACCAGCTCCTGACAGGAGACCACCCCCAGCCCACGCTCAGCCCTGCCATACCTGGCAGGCCAGTGAGAAGACAGAGTCCTGCTTGGATAATAAATACCATGGGAATGGGTTCTTTCTGTGTGACTTCATCAGCCACCTGTCCTCCAGGAAAGCTCCTGAAGCATGCTGGAGAAGTGCTTCTGTTAAATATGGGCAAAACATTATAGTCTGCAAAGCACTCAGCTGAGCATTTGAATAACTTTTAGTTCTACTTAAAAGCCCTGCTGAATTGCAGTACACTTGACAGCAGCACACTAAGAAGAATGCAAGTTTTTATTTTTTTTCTAATATATGCAGGACATATATCTATTCTGATGAGCACGGCCCTCCAGATTCTGCACATTATGCAGAACTCCCAGCAGGGGCTGCTTGGAGAGTAAATGCACTTTGGAAATTAATAGAAGAACAATTATGTAATAGAACTGTATAGATTTATACAGTCATCATGTATTTCTGTAGCTGCTCTT